TACTTAGCATTCCTTAGCCCGTGCTAAGCGTTCACACACGTTTTCTTAGCACGGGCTAAGGAATTTGACCTCTTAGCCCGTGCTAAGGAGCTGTGCGTGAACGCAACTATAATCTAAACAGCTGCTGTAAATTTGCAAATCAATTGTATGAAATTTAGTTATATAACTCACACAATTAACATTGTTTCAATTTTGAGATTCATATGAACAATAATGTAGCATTTGTTTTAATCCGTGTCGCCATTTATAATTTTAAATAAATAATTTCACCTAAACCCGCGCAAAAATGTAAACTTTTAGTTTTTTTCAAGATTTTTGTTTCTTGAAAAAAAATGTTATGTGACGCCATTTTTTTTTGGTGGCATGATTCCTTAACCATGAATATGTGACGAACATGACCTTTGATTTTTAGTCCAACTCAACGTTTCTAATTTTTAGTTTTAGATGATGCACCTTTATGGACACATTGCTTGAAATAGTTTGACTATATGAACATGTTCATCAAAGAGCATCAAGAAATCTTCTAAATTTTCTGTTTTCCAGCTTTTAACTCATCGCGTCGTGTGTAGAGTTTATCTACACTACAAGCATTTCACTTACTCTTGGAATCCGTACGCGAGTACAATAACGAACACGTGCTTGTATTTATCGAATCTTCCTTTAATGGCAGTGTCAAGTACATATGGTTTGGGGAAATCTTGGTAGAGTTCAGCTTTAATTTCTCCTTTCATGTTAGGATCGAAGTCAGGAATGGCTATCACGTGACACAACTCGTTGTTCATCTGGTATATACCATCACTAACACTTACACGTTCTAAATAAACAAAAACAATAAAGTCACGTTATTCTTCAACACATTCTGTGCGTACGAAATTGTTTTTCTCTTATTGACTGATTTATGCTGATGGCATACATTTTTTTGTATATTTAAAACGATCAATTCAGTTACGTTGTACTAGTATTATTTAAATATAAGAAAGTGAGATACAATTACCCAAGATCTTGTCAGAGAGTGTGTTAATTTCAAGCGGGTAAAGTTCGCGTGGATATGGGACTTCTTCGTAACGTTCTTCAAGGAACTTGTGCAGAGTACGCACGTTGTATCGGAACCCATGAATAAATCCGGACGCAGCTTTTCTGTCGCGGCACTGCATAACTGTGCCCATAAAATACATATTGTCGATGTTGGATTCCCACGTATTGGAAACAACTGGAAACTTGTCATCTTGTTTGGTAACTAAATTGAGAATAATAAAAGAACATACGCTTTGAACATATGAGGAAAAAAGATGCGAGTCAGGCTTGTTTAAATCTAGATATACAATAATTACTAAATTGCCATTAAATGTTGATTGCGTTGACGTTCGAGTTAGTATTTACAATGTGGAGAAAGGGAAAGTTTTTTTTTTTACCTGGTTTGCAATTATCGTCAAACATTGACAAATCAACGTAATTGAAGCCAGTGCAGCAGATCACGTGATCATATGGAGGTAGTTTCACTCTGACGTGGCCCTGACTTTCTCGCCAATGTGGAACAACGTCGTCAATGGTAAGAACATATCCTTCATCTGTTTTCTCCACTTCTATCACGTTCACAGCCTGATAAACGTGAAGAGATTTCAACTGGTACATGTCAAGTACCGTATCGTTAACTGCTCTAAGATCACCTGTGAAAAAAAGGTATATATGGAATGTTGTTATACGATACCAAATAAATCATGATGCACGAGTACACCTCATATATGAAATGTACAATAAGTATGCATTATATATTTATCGAGTGTTGATTTCATTTCTCACATCTTTGGCATGGGATTGCGCGATTACTAGTAACCCCAGCCACTGTATGCATACAAGTTTTGTATGATGAGTTATTTAATATTAAATTATTATCCACTTGTTACTTACCTACAAAGTGAGTGTCCCAAGCATGCTTCACTTTTCGATCACCAAATATATGTATTATACTAGCTGCTCCAGCCAGATGGTTAGCAACTTCGAAGGCACTGTTGCCATTACCAAGAATAAACACTTTCTTTCCGTTGTATTTCTCGGTGTCGAGACTGTGGCTACAGTACGTCTCCATGAGTTCGTGACCTTTGATTTTCTTAGGGACTTTTTCATCACGTGCACCAGTAGCAATTAACAGAACTCTGCATCGGTACTCTCCTTTGGACGTTTGAAGAGAGAAATTTTCACTAGATTTGGCCTGATTTTCCAGTTTCTTTACCTTCTCCACTCGAGTATTGTAATGAATATTGAGGTTGAACTTGGTGGCAAAATCTTGCATGTAGCGAACCAGATCATCGGCGTTGGGGAACAGCTCTTTGGAGTATTTAGTAAAGTGGAGTTCGGGATCATCGCTTAGCAATGAGTTCCAGTCATGTCGCATGTTGTATTCGGGCTCCGGGAATGGGTTGAATCTTTTATTGATCGATATCAAAGTACGATGACGTGGGTGTTCTGCGAAGAACGAGCCTGGTAAATCATTCATTTCCAAGATGGCGTAACTACGCTTCTTCTTCTCCAGGAAATAACCCATCTGACAGCCACCTGGACCTGCACCAACAATGATGTAGTCGTACTGACCTATAAGAACAGAAACATGAGTTAGAGTGTGTTCATAATTACAAGTTGTGATCAGAACCTCGTAATCGATCTAGGCCGGACACTTATTCATACCACGAAGAAAATGCTCATATTTGAGAAAATGATATTGAGATTGGGCAACGTGCACGTTTGGCGAACACATGGAGGTATAAGACTTTTACATTTTACCTCCATGGCTAGGAGATACATAATAACCGGCTTGTGGCCTTTTTAGTGCATAGAGTCGCCAAGATTAAGCAATTCATTCATTCTAAAACAATCTCAGATTTACATCAACATGGAACATAACTAATATGGAGCAAACTTTGTACATACATTAAATGGAAAATTGCCGCGGTACTGTCATGAATTTGTTTTCGCGTATCTGTTGACCGACTTAATTAGCTGATTATTAGCTGAATTGCTGTGTTATCTCTGCCATCGTGTAGGCCTATTTGAAGTTTTGGACGGAACTTGGCTCAGTGATTTGGAACTAATTACCAGATAATCGTCGCCATTTTGACAGTTTATATTCATAGTTATTAATGTAGTGAACGATTAATCAAAAGATATGACGTATTCAGTGCTTTATGATTGAAGGTTACGCCTTAGAGTCTTTTTACTGCTTTGTAATTGGTTAGAGTTTTGAAAATGAATAAAGAGAGTTTGAGTTGGTCTTGGCAAATACTCCACGCTAGACGCAGTAGAGAGAGAGTGCAGTCCTGGAGAGTCGAGTCCAGTCCAGGGGCGAGCCTTGAGGCAGTCCAGTCTTGGGCGAGTCTTGGTTCAGCCTTGTGAGAGTCTTGGGGACTTTTCCCCAGGGCGCTGTGTCTTATAGAGTGCTCGATTGACCGACTAAGACGAGAGCTGAAACGTATTTCGTTGTGTGTGTCTTATTTGACTGTAAAGTAAAGTGACTTTCCCGATCCCGTACCTCAAGGGGACGAGATAGAGAGACGAGACGAGTTTCCCCCCTGGCAAGTGTGGAGAACCCAGAGAGGAAGAGATTTCCCCCCTGATAGTACTACGTAATAGTTCTGATTAAAATCTTAAAAAAAAACTTTCATCTTTCATTTTTATACTAAAATGCTACTCTAAAATCAAATTGAACGGTTAAATACTTGTATCGTTTGACAAAATAAGGTAAAATGTCGTCTTGGAGATATTAGAGACCCGACCCAGTTATTGTTGGACTGCGAATATGAGAAGAATGTCGAATGCGAATTACTGGCACCGTAGTTTGTGGCAGAACATGCACTGAAGGGTCAAACAAATACTTGTAATATTACACTTACCAGGCATCTTCTTATTTTCTGAAGCCATGACTGCGTGAGAATCTAGAATGTTTTGGTGGCCCAAAGAATACTGTGATCGTAGCAGTGAGATGAACTCTTTTATAATCGTACATGTTCCGTTAGCCGCACCCCGTGTTCTTTCAATCACTACTAAATATGGAGGCGATCACGTTTAGTCACCTGCCCCGTAAGTGTGAACACACATGATATAAGTCCTACAGGAAATCACGCGATCATGTGTGACCACGATGTCCAGCATGTGTATTTCCTTGAAAAAGTCATTCATACATGCTACCACAGTCCCTCTATCCCGGGACTGTGATGCTACCATAACCTCTCGATGCTACAAACAACCCCCGAAAATAAGTTACTGAAGCAACTTTCACCGTTCTGTACACATGTGCTAGTAGGGGATATGTGTATATGTGTTCCCAGATACGTTACATTCAAAAAATATAACATTATAGCGTTAATAATAGAGAAAATACCAAATGTTAAATGAATAAAGCATCATGGGTATTTTATAGTTAACTGCTTACAAACTCCAAAATGATGAGTGGCTACGACCCCCCCCCCCCCCATCCTCTATTCAGAATAAGCGTCTACAATTTACAACACCTACTAGTACTTACTTTTATTAACAATTTAGTTTCAATACAGTATATTACACTTTGGGTGTATTTGAAGACTGAATTTTAGTCACTATTAAAATGGCAATTATGTTGATTTTTGAGCTTAATCTCATGCTCAAGAACCGTCCAAGAGAAACATAATTTTACATTTTTCTCTGTTTTTTCATGGAGGTATGGTTTTTTGGAGTACTGTAGAATACTTTATGTAAGCTTGGCATTTATTTTCGCTATTTTCGACGAAGGGATGCTTCAGTGAAAATAAAATCCAGCGAATATACTTTTTTTCCTATATTTCACATTCAACTCATCAAAAATCAGTGCAAATAAATTCCATACAAAACACCCATACAGTTTTGTTTTCTTTGTTGGAACGTCGGTTGATGAGCTTATTTGGGGTTGGGGTGAGGGGGGGGGGTTGTACTGATCGATAGTCGTAGTCCGATAAGACACGGTTTGGTAACCGTGGATACGATAAAAACATCACACCAACTACAATGACGGGCAAGTGTGAATTGGAGGTGTGGCTATTCGACCCTTGTTTAGTTCGGACACAGTCCCTCTATCCTGGTTCGGATGTGTACGGGTGTTTGAAATCGACACAGAACCAGTGGTCAGTGCGAGTAGCACTAGCGCAAAATGGTACTATATCTAGGGGTGAAATGTTAGTACATCTAGTGGTGAAATGGTATTAGACCCAGCGGTGATATAGCAGTAATTCTAGTGATAACATGTAAGAGGCATTGTAGCATATACAAGTCGCGTAATTATTGTATATCTAGGGGTGAAATGTTAGTACATCTAGTGGTGAAATTTCGATTGCAGAATAACAGGAAGTGACGCAGAGTCTAAACGTCATTTCTTTCTCGATGTCCCTAAATGTGCTCGCGTTGATTGTTATGTTGGAAATACCATATGTATCAAAATGAACAGTTGCTAATTTAATAGAAAATAATCCAAATGGGCATTCAATACAATGGCATTGTTATTGGAGTATTAACGACGTTGTATTGCATTGTAGCATATACAAGTCGCGTAATTATTGTTTGAAAAATATGGTATTACATATTGAATGGCGTTCGCGTACAGCTCCTTAACAAGGGCTATTAGGTCAAAAATGTTAGCACGTACCACAGTCAACGTGCGCGAACGCTTACCACGGGCTAAGAAATTCTAAGTTAGGATTGATTCTGATTCGTTGTAAGACCCGGTCTAGATCCTAAGCATGAACTAATGTCCCTCTTTAGAGAGACTGTGGTACGGGCTAACGAAGTGTGAGTGAAGGCTTGGAACGGGCCACGGAGGTTGCAATGATCGGGCCATGGAGGTACTAGTAAAATACAGTCGTTTTACCTCCATGATTGGGCGTCCAAAACGCCGTTGTATTGAATGCCCATTTGGAATATTTTCTATTATATTAGCAACTGTTCATTTTGATACATATGTCATTTCCAACATAACAATCAACGCGAGCACATTTAGGGACATCGAAAAAGAAATGACGTTTAGACTCTGCGTCACTTCCTGTTATTCTGCAATTGAAATTTAGGTTTTCTGTCACCATTAAAATGAGAATTTTGTTTCTATTTGAGCTTAACGCCATACACGTGAAACGGCAGAGACAAAAGCATTTCGTAATTTGTTCTGTTTTTGGAGTAACTCGCTTTTCTGCGACTTTTTCACCCGGTACATCAATGAACATACCACATTGCCCGTACATGTATAAAATGGTGTGTTTTTTTAGGTGGAAAGACACGATAAAAGTTTCTGTAGTGAATGACTTGTTTGTTTGTTTGTTTGTTCGTGGTATTACAGGTTTATCCTAGGAGTGAGTAAAATGACGCCAATTAGTGGTTTGAAAGCAGAACTTG